TTGGACGCAGTGGGTTTCGGGCAACATGACCTCTAGAGTTGACTGGGCCCACTGGTGGGCAAACTTATCCAGTTGGCAATCCGTTTCAAATTGAAATTGCCAGAAAGGGGGCTTCTCGGGACTCCCTGCGGAGTTGCTTCACTCTGAGGTCCGACGGTCACCTGCCATCTGGGAGTCGAATCGGGTTCGTCGACCCAGGGTTCAAGATGCAACCTCCACGCTCTCGAAGATCACCCCCAGCCTGCTCGAGAGGCCCCTAGTAAGTTCAGCCGCGCCACCGCCGAGACGCGTGCCGTCTCAGCTTCTGGCAGCAATGACTACCCTTATCCCAGATCGCAGGCCTCCAGGAGAGGGCCCGTCTTGCCCTGGGAGTGGTTTGATGCCGTCTGTTGACCGACTTGGGGGGCGAATCCGACTGATGTAGCACGAAGCTGGGAGTGCAGTGGAAGGTGCGAGTCTTTGCCCCGCCAAGCTGGGCGGCCTATTGTGGAGCTGGTCTACCAGGAAGCACTGCAAGAAAGAGGGCCGCCGTTCAGCAGGAGAAGACCCGCGCCGCTTCTATCGTGTATGATCAAACCCATTATTGCGAACATGTCAGCATCTGTAAACTTCATCGCCGAGCACTGAATGCCGGCCGGCTCCAATTGAGCCTTCATGCATTCTCAATCAGTGTCAAAGCCAACGTAGGATAAATCTCAGCAGTCGAACATCAGATGATGGGCCCCCGCCAAAGGTGCCCATGCAGGCTGTTGTCTCGCCGCCTTCTTACTTCAGATGCACTGCGTCGGGGCGCCCGACGCAATGCATCTTGGACAGGCAACGTGCCCATCTCCCTCCGCGTGTTCATCGATGGCCTCCTCCTGTTCTACTCTCGCCCGTGCAAGGGCGCGTTTGTCTCGGCTCTCGAACGCGCCGCCGCCAGCCTTCTGAGCGAGATCCAGTGCGAGCTGGAGTGCGCTATCGCGATCAAAAAATCGGCAGTGTTCGCCTAGGAGCTTGATCTTCAACGAAGACTAGCTTAGCTCAAGCTCTCGGGCGCTAGTCCGGATCCGCCCCCCATTGCGCTGCAAACCTAGGAATTGATTTCCGAGCTGGTCATGAACGAGGTGGAGGTATCACTAGCAGCAAGCTACGCGGGCGACATATCAAGGTGAATGGACTTTTAGCCAGACTGCGAGCCGCGCAAGGCGCTGGAGCTAACGCGCAACAAATATAGAATACGGGCTGCGGGCAGGCCCAGTTCCATGCGGTGGAGGTGGTGGCAAGCTCGCAAACTATTTTTCTAATGGCGGCATTGTCCTTGCTGGGAGATCCATGCTGGAGGCCTGGAGTGGGCCCCGTCATTTTCTAGGTTGGAACTGGTGTGGCGCGCGATGACAGGGCAGCATTTGCGAGGCCGCGGTTTATATCAACTCCGATCTTTAGCCGTGGCAGTCCTCGAAGACCCACTTCGTAAGTGGAGTGAATGTCGTGGGCCTTTTGGGGGCAGCCATTTAAAGTGCGCGCCGTCAGGGATGGAAACTTGATGCCCCTTTCATGCTGATGGATCACGATCGCGGGGCTCATTTCCTGACCTCGACCTCCCCCTCTCTGATCCATGCCTGTGCGGGGCTGGCCTGGAACTACCAGTTGCCGTGCAAGCCGCCCAGAAGCTCGGACTGCTGCAAGCGCTCGACAAGTCCACGGCTAGGCGGGTTCCAGGCAACTCAGGACTCACGCAGTCTGAGTAAACCATCACCATCTTCCTGGCTTTCCCGATGCTGTGCATGTAGGCCCACGCCCGTTTGGGGCAAGGCCGGTGACCCCGCGGAAGCGCTTTGCTAATGTGGGCATCAAACTGACGATCTTCATCGTGGAGTTGCGAGCTGCCTATGTGCCTCCCCTTTCATATAGAAATGTTTATATTGAAGGAGTTGACGCTTATGTTCTTAAGGGCCCGTCAAAATTTCCGATTCAGGTTCTTTTGGGAGGGTTTGGGCTGGTCCACGGGGCCCCCCCGACGGCTTGGGTCTGGATCAAAAGTTCGTCTGGGCCCGTGGCAGCACCCCGATCTCCGAGGCTCTGAGAGGCGTGATTTACACGGGCAGATCTTGTTCAATGCGGTCCCCCCTGAGACTTTCACGCGGCTGGATGCGCGGCCGTCGCCGTAGACGAGGATGGCGATGCGAAAGCAGCAGTCTACGGCCCTGTAGGCCGTGACCTCCCCAGTCCTCTCCCTTTGCTGAGCGCCTTGCGGTGCTTGCTGCTGTCTCCTTCTCCCCTCTCAATCGGCAAAACCGTGGCAGATTACCGCGGAGTATTTTACGTGTGCCATGATGGGATGGGAAGCATCTGTGCCCAGGTATTGCGATGCCAGCAGGAGGCTCGGCAAACGGGCACCGCCGAATCTTGATCGAGAAACTCAGCGCTCACCGGGGGCTGAAGAGTCTGCCCAGGGTTCGAACGCGTGGTTCGATGCCACAGGAAACGATTTAGCTGGCAAGTTCGCGAATCTTGGAGCTTGGATGCCGATGAGGCCCTCGTCCAATGAAGTCGGGGATGCCAGCGAGGCCCGAGCTCTTCTTGTCAAGCGGATCAGGATTGTCGGTGAAGTTTTTTTGGGGGGTTGTGGGGCCGACGACCAGCAAGGGGGCGTTCGCCTCATGCGGCAAGACCGAGGCCCGGCCCACTGCGGCAGACGATTGGCCAAGCCCCTCTTCGGTCAGATTCCAGGTCCCGAGGCCCCAGAATCCCCCCACTCCTGGGAGTGGAATGACAGATCCCAGGAGGGGCTTTGCGCTGTCTGTGAGACAAGAAGCGCTAATCGAACGTGCTCGTCTCGCAAAGATGAGGCCTGTCGGAGCTATCACTCATCGATGCCTCTTGCCTCCTCCTATCTCCTGCTTGCTGGCAGAGGTTCTGGTGGGGCGGATGCTGTTGCCGCCGCTGCCAGCATTCTCGCTCTCTCCGGCCCTATCTCTCTTTCTCTCTCTCTCTCTCTCTCTCCCTCTCTTTTTTTCTGTCTCTTCCTCTCCTCTGCTCTTCCCTTCTCTCTTTTTTCTTTCGCTTATGCAACCGTATATTGTATGGTTTCCAGCATCACTTATCTTTGCTGCCAGTGTATAATCCTGAGTCGCATTGTTATATCTTCTCGTACCGTATCTTAGAGATCTGTCTGTACTGGCTGTTCGCACGTTCCCTTCTGGTCTCGTCCGTTACACTGCCATTCATGTAGTTCTTAAGTTACCGTGTAACTTTTTGCTAGTTCCTCATTGTGCCTTTTGTGGTAGTGCAGCCTGTCATATTTCCTTACGTTCCCTTACGCTGAACGCGCGTATACTATCCCATATCGTAGTATACTATTTCAGCTTATCTTATAATGTCCTGTTTTGCCCAATCGTAGCACATCCTAGTTGATTGTCATGCCTCCCCATTTTTTATCGTCGCTTCGCCTTTCTTTTCCCATCTTACCATGTCTTCTTCTCCTGGATTCACGCCTGTTCCCTCATGTTACCATTTTTCTTTCCATGTATACCTTTCATATGTACAAACCTTTCTCTCTCTCTCTCTCTCTCTTTCTTTCTTGCCCCGTCTCCGTTCCTCTCTCTTGCTTTACCTCCCTCCGCTTATATCCCGGGTTTCATTGCCTCTTTCCCATGCGTAGCTGACCTTGCGCACCTTGTCGGGGCCAGTTTATGAAGTCTGAGCGTGCAAAAGACGTGGGCAACTGTGCAGAATTCGGCACAAATGTTCGCTTGGCACTGGCTTGGCGCAAAGAGTGACACGCGGAATACGCACCCATGGGCCAGACAGGATCGCCTCCAAAGGAGGGGCTATGGTTGCTGCTACGAATGCTGTTGCCCCGCATCCTTCTCAGCCCTCCTCCGCCTCCTCGTCGTGGTCTTCTTCTCCTTCTTCTTCTTCTTCTTCCCTACCTAGGCTCTGCCTAGAAGGGTTCTTACTCTCTGGGCTTAAAGGGGCCGGGCAGTGGAAAGCGCCCCGGGCGGTTCCCCCAGTATCCGTCCCGCGGTTCCCCCAGTTACGTCCCCTTAGCTTAGCGTTGCTTATCTCATCTTAGCTTAGTTTTTTTTTTCATCTTAGCTTAGCTTAGCTTCATCTTCGCTCAGGTTTATCTTAGCTTAGCTTACCTTCATCTTAGCTTCGCTGAGCTTTAGCATCGCATAGCACATCATAGCATAACATAGCGTATAATAGCATAGCGCAGCATATCATACCATTGCATAGCCCAGCATAGCATAGCATAGCCTCTCCTAGCTTAGCTTAGCATAGTGCAGTGCTGCATTATCATAGCATAGCATATCATAACATAGCCAATCATATCATAGCATAGCATATCATAGCATAGCATAGCACAGCGCAGCATGACGTACCATAGCTTAGCATAACATGGCATAGCATATCATAGCATATCGCAGCTTAGCATAGCATGGCATACCATATCATAGCTTAGCATAGCACAGCGCAGCATGACATATCATAGCTTAGCATAACATAGCATATCATAGCATATCATATCATATCATATCATAACGCATCATATCGTATCATAGCATAGCATAGCATAACGCAGCATCGCATGACATATCATAGCATAGCATTGCATAGTAACTAATGCTGCTTTCCTATTGGCTCCAACTTCTAGGTAGGGTCGCACTGGGGTAATTCTTCTTCTCAGCTCCCACACCTCTAGCTGCTCCTACTTCTTCGTCTGGCGCCTCCGTCTCCTCCTTGCTGCTTCTGTTCCTTGTCCTACTCCTCCCTGGTCGTCTTCCCTGATCTTCCTGACACTTCCTAATCCCTGATCGTCGCTCCTGCTGCTCCTCCTCCTCCGCCTCCCCCAGCGGCTGCCGGTTTGGGCATCATTCGGATATGTCTCCAGGGGTTCCGGGGAGGGTACGATCTCTGGCAGTTCTTCGATCAGGGGGGCGATCCCCTGGAATCTCACCCTCAGAGGCTTCCCTGGCCAGCACCCAAACCACAGGCGTGCCGCGTCTGCCTGCAGCTTCGGCGGCTCAGGTGGAGCCCGCCCGGGCGGTGCGCGCCCGCTCTCTCTCGCGCGCGCGCGCGCCCGCGCCCTCCACGGCGCGGGGAGCGCTTCGGGGCGCAGCCGTAGGCAGCTTCTTTGGGGCCGCAGGCGGCGGGGGCCGATGGCCACGCTGCTGGCGGAGTTCGACACCGCGCACTGCGGGCCGGTCGCGGACGCCCAGCTGGACAGCTATGGGCGCACGACCCCCGCTCCCCTTTGGCGTCTCTATTTCGGGAGGCAGGGAGGAAGGGAGGGCTGGGGGGGTAGCAGTAGGGATGATGACGAAGAGGAGGATGCAGAGGAGGAGGTGGAGGAGGAGGAGGAGGGGTTATGAGGATGAGAGAAGGAGGAGGAGGAGGAGGAGGAGGAGGAGGAGGAGGAGGAGGAGGAGGAGGAGGAGGAGGAGAAGGGGGAGGAGGAGGAGGAGGAGGAGGAGGAGGAGAAGAACTGGTCATAGAACTGGTCAAAATATGATAGGGTCAGGCATAGAACTGTTCGTTCCAACTTAGCAAATGTATTATCTAACTTTCTTCTTGCTAGAATGTCGACCAGTTCTATGCTGGTCCCTTTTTAATTGACCAGTTCTATGACCAGTTCTAGCCAGTTGTACCAGTTCCGCAACGAAGCAAACCCACATCAACGAAACAACGAAACGCTTCTTACCCATACGGTGCCCGGACAACAAATTGTCCGCACCCAAAGCGGGAAGGCGATGCAACGTGGTGACAACCACAAGTGCGGAATGCCTTTGCTTCGCACCCGTCCCCCCCCGAACCAAAAGCTGAAATGCCCACATTTTGTCCCTGGCTTGGGGCCTGCCGCCTAAGACCGTCAACTTTGAATTTAGGGGAAGGGGGATATACATGTTGGTCCGACGTACTTTAGTGACTCAAGGTCTTGGCGAGACACGCGTGGACATTTTTAGTCCACCCGCCGTGGTAGTCAACCCTGTCAAGGTGGTCATGCTGTTGATGCGAGCTGCTTCAAATGTGCGTGCGTCTCGCGCGAAGGCCCAAGCAACGCAAGGACGAGCGAGAAACATACAGCAAGGCGAGTGCGAGATGCGGAGACGCGCCCTGGCAGCCCCGCGGCTTCCCTTTGCGTGGAGAAGTGCGTGGAGCTGGTACAACTGGTACAACTGGATAGAACTGGTCATAGAACTGGTCATAGAGCTGGTCCAATTAAGATCGGGTCAGGCATAGAACTGGTCGTTTCAACTTAGGAAATGTAATATCTAACTTTCTTCTTTTAAACATGTCGACCAGTTCTATGCTGGGCCCTTGAATGGACCAGTTCTATGACCAGTTCTATGACCAGTTCTAGCCAGTTGTACTAGTTCCGCAACGAAGCAAACTCACATCAACGAAACAACGAAACGCATCTTACCCGTACGGTGCCCGGACAAAAAGTGGCCGCACCCAGAGCGGGACGGCGATGCAACATGATAACAACCACAAGTGCGAAACGGGTGGGTGGGTAGCTAAGCCTCCCCACCCCTTTCTGGAAGGGGGGGAGGGGGGTGGAAGCTTCCGGGGGGGCAAAGAAGGACAGGGCCAGAGGTGTGTTTTTTTTTCCAGGGCCGGAAGAAAGGGTGGGAGGGGAGAGGGGCTTCCAACAAGGGGGCCTCAAGGGAGGGGGTTGGGGTAGCTGAAGCCAAGCCCCCCCCTTGCTCGTTCGCTGTGGGTGCGCTCTCTCTTTGGTTTGCTGTTTGTTGTTTGTTTTGTTTGTTGCATTTTTTGTTTTGGAGAAATATGAGGAATAAGCATTTTTTATTTGACAGTGTTTCAGAAGTTGAATGGTTCGTTGGGTGTTTCGCGAACGGTGGGTGGAGGGTCTAGGGGGAGGGCGAGATGGATGGGGTGGTGGAGGGAAGGGGGTAATGAGGGGAGGGGGTGGGGGTGGGACGCTGCAGGCGCGAGGGAGGGAAATGAGGAGGAGAAGAAGGAAGGTTTGCGAGTATGGGGAGGAGGAGGGGGGGGGAGGAGGAGGAGGAGGAGGAGGAGGAGGAGGAGGAGGAGGAGGAGGAGGAGGAGGAGGAGGAGGAGGAGGAGGAGGAAGAGGGGTTGGAGGGAGGAGGTGTCGGGGGAAGGACGAGTGAGGGTCAGGTGTGGAGGACAACAAGCGCGTATCCCTCCAGGTCGAGCCGCTTCTACCTTTTTCCTTCCCTCCCTCCCGTTCACTTTCTGTCTATATCCCTCTCTCTCTTTTTCTCTTTCTCTCCCTCTTGTCCGCTCTACCGACCTGCGTGATGCTCTTCGTTCCTGAATAAGCGTCCGAGTTTTGCCGCTCCCGCCGACAGCCCTGGTCCGACGCCGTCGCTGGCAAACTCGGCACGCCGAAGTGCCGCGCCCCCTCCAGGCTGCGCGCTGACGTGGCGAGCTTGACCCCCGTCGGAAGGAAGGGGTACTTCCCACGCTTATGAAGAAACGCGGAGAACTCATAGGCGCTTTTCCCTTGTGCCTGCCGTACGCAACACCTACCACATGATTCGCGCATCCTTGGATGTTTTCGCTCATGCGAGACTTCTAGCATTTGGGAGTGCCGTTATTTTTTGTCTTCAGCCACCAGCCTGCATCCAATGCAGTATGGTACACAACCAATGTATGCGAGCAGGCTGCATACGAATATCTACGTGTTTACCTGCTTGGCACAGTTCGCTCAACATGCTCATGCCTCTGGCCCACGGCTGGTTTACTTTCTGATGCGTCAGAATCAACGCGGGACTTACAATGGATCTCTTCGGTAGGCGATGTGCGAGTAAGGGAGTTGGCATGGGGATTAGGAGGGGCGTGGGCTGATTTCGCCAGCCGCTGGTTCCGCCCCGGCTGGTTTCGCGGGCGTTTGGTGTCGCCAGGGCTGGTTTCGCCGACGGCCGGTTTCGCCGGGCGGGTGGGATCCTAACAGGCGAGTCGGGCAGGACGGACCCGAATAGGCAGGTCGGGCTGGTGGGATCCTCACGAGCAGGTTGGGCGGGACATTCAAGCGGGCGGGCGAGCTGGCCAGCACGCGAACGGACGAGACTGTAATGGGCGGGTTGGCGAAACCAGCCGGGCGAAACCAGCGGGTGTGTTGACGAAACCAGCCAGGTGAAATCAGTGTCGGCGAAACCAGCGGGCAGCAGCCAGGCGAAGTCAGCCGTCGGCGAAACCAGCCGTCCCCGTAGAGGGGAAGGAGGTTGAGGACAATAAGCATGATTAGGAGAGGACGTATGAACCCTCCCTCCAAGATCCCTCTTCATAGGCCCCTACAAAGGTCACCTCCACTGAGGGAATTGCCCCGTTGAGAGGCACCCGTGTGACCATCTTGAAGCATGTCAAAACACAATTTTCGGGACATCAGCGCCACGAGTGAAACTGACTGTTACGTCTTGGCGATCCTGAATTGTGCCAGAACGCCACTCCTGAGACTTCAACACGGCGAATCAACGTAACTGTTGTGCCCTGGCAATCCTGACTCGTTCCAACAAATCATTTCTGGTACGCCAACCACGAGGACCAGTGACAGTATTGCAAGCAGATGTTCACATCTAGTGTGCGCGGCGCTAAGGCGAGAATCACATTTTGAAAGCGAGCCAAGACGAATGTGCGGGGCGCTCAGGCGAGAGCAACATTTTGACAACCACCCGCCCGTGATCCGTGAAGGTCTTCTAAATTTCTAAGACGAATGAGCGCGGCGCTGGGGCGAGAACCAGATTTTGAAGATCACCCGCGTTCAACCCGTGATGCTCTTCCAATTAAACGAATGTCCGGCGCTACACATATTGAAAACCACCCGCCCTCAATCCGTGAAACTCTTGCAAATTTTGGAACGAATGTGCGGGGCGCTAAGGCGAGAGACACATTTCGAAAACGACCCGCCCTCCATCCTTGAATCTATCGTCAATTTTAAGCATCAGTAAGGAAGTCTCAGGCGAGACGCCAGGCCCGCCCTTTCGACCGACCTCGGGGTGGGACATGGCGGACTTATCTATAAGGAAATTGCAGAGGAGGAGGAGGAGGAGGAGGAGGAGGAGGTCCGTAGCTGTGGCTCAAGGCCATCTCCCACCTCCCTTCAGAGGGTGGGGTCAGGGCTCGAGGTGGCAAAGCGCCTGGCTCCTTTCAGGCCCACTATCCGTGCCGTCGGCGTTTTTTTGTTGTTTTGTTTTTCTTCTCTTTCCTTCTACAGCACAGCAGTTATACAGAGCATGGGGCAGCGAGGTGCCGCTGGCAAGTGCAAGGTCCAGAAGGGCCTGGGCGGCGGGAGTGCCAGCCTGCCGCAGTCCCAGCTGGGAAGCGCAGTGTCGTAGTCATGGATTTGCCAGGGTTGCTCGGCTCAAGTGAGTCTTCAGCATGACCGGTGCTGGCGGTGCGGCGCTCATTGGCAGGCGGAGCCAGCTGGGAGTGACGCGGGCACCCAGCCCCCGAGCGAAAGCAGTGGTGGCAAGGCGGATTCGACGGTCAAAGGCAAGCTGCAGATCCTGGGAATCTAGAGTACCCTGGGACATGTTGAAGGCATTGGAAAGCAAGCAGGAGGGCGCAGCCTTGGCATCAACGGAGTTATGGAGTGGGTGGAAGTGGTGCTTGATCGTCTTAAGGCGGACAGGGACAGCGAGAAAACATTCACAGCTGCAGCAGGCCCGTTTCCAGAAGTTGGTCAGAGCCCAGCGACAGTTGGAGCTGAAAGCTGAGTGCACCGATAAGCAGGAGAGAGCCTTGGCAGCCTTGGAGGATCTGGAGGTCCAGTGCGCCCCAGTGCAGGCCGACCTCGAGCCAGCGCGGACGACCAAACTAGAGTTGGAGCTGAAGGCGCAGACCTTACGGCTTCAGTTCTAGCAGACCCGTATCAAGGTGCTGCAGGTTTGCCGTCGCCAATGCCAGCGGGCAAAGGCATGGCCATCGGAGCGTTCAGCCAGTCTGGTGGCAAGGGCCAGATGGACGCACAGGCTTTCTTGAATAGCAAGAACTTCCTCAGCGCAGGCCTGGATCCACCGTGGGATCTTATGAAGCAGTTCGCCGAGCAGACCCGCCAGCGCACAAGAGTGGCCTCGAGTGCAGCAGCGAACCCGCAGTGGAGCGAGCTGGCGGAGGCCAGTGTGATGCAGCAGACGCCCAGCCAGTTGGAGGAGGCCGCGGTCCACGCGGAGAGTGCGGAGGGCGGGGTCGCGATGCCCTGGCAGTCTTCGGCTGGGCGGCGCCCGGCAGATGCGGCAGTGGAGG